TGATTGGATATTTCTGCAGATACCTTCTAAATTTGTACTAGTTCGAAATTCGTTATGACAAGGTTTGACTGTATTAATTTATACTTTCTTGTGGAGATTTTTTTACTGAAACACAAAAATTCTCCAACAGAAGCACTGAATTCCACTAATAACAACAATTTCGGTTGCAAATTTTTAAAAATTAGTCAATTCTAAACCGATTAAAAATGGTTTTACAAAAGTGTATACCCGTGGGTATTCATAGAATTAGTTACATTTACATCGGTTAATCTGATTCTAACTTATTTGTACAAAACATATTATTTCTTAACGCTTGATCATTTATTACAGTGTTGGCATTTGACCGGCAAAAACAATGACCAAAATGGCCAAGACTTTCTCAATTTCAATAATTCTGATATAAAAATTGTCACATAATTATATATATGTTTGTTTGTACAAAACTGTCAAACGGCCAAATGCCAACATTGATTTATTACTTATGGGGTCCAAAGTTCTCTTTCACTCACATGAATTGCAAGTTCTTTTTCACGCATGTGAATTGTAAACTTCATTTTCACACGCAAAAAAAAAAATAATGGAATTTACAATTTTGGAATTCTAGATCCGAATTGAAGGTTTAGATATTAAATATGAGATCCTTTCAATAGGAACCATCTATCTACTTTTTCGTTATACAATGATTACACTATAGTGCCAGTCATCTAAAGACAAAAATGTTGCTAATCTTTAAATGTTGATACTTTACTAAATACAGGCTATTTTACCAAAAACTCAATTTTTGCAATCTTCTAAACATGAAAAATAATGTAATAGAAAGTTTTTTTAGTAAAAAAAAAAGCTATAATGGTTTAAAGTTGGGTAACTTACTATGTCATTTGAAATTTCGGCAATTATATATCCAAACCTGCAATTTACTGATTATTGATAGTATTTTTTATGTTTCGTTTTAAAATTGCATGGGACTTCATAATGTAATAATCGACGATTTTTTTCTATACTATAACTAATATCAGATTCTCATACTTTTTCTAATACTAATCCAATGATCCGTTATAAAGATAATGAACTGTGACGATATTCCCTTTTTAAATATGTTGCGCGTGAATTTGAAATTCAAATTAGCCAATCAGAATTTGTATCTAAACACCTCACCCCAAACTTCAAATTCACTCAAAAACATATCCAATTTCAACTAAAATTTGAATATATTTGTAAAACTAAAGCTAATATACATACAATACATGCATATATATAATATATACTGTACATAATAATAATAATAATAACGGTTGGCGTTTTTTATGCAAAATATCTCCTTATTTGTATATATTTCCTTGGTCAAGATTCATAAACTGAACACAGACTTTCCATCCAGATTTAATTTAACGTTAAAAAAAATAAATTTAGTATATTAGTATCAGAATTCTTTACGGATATTTCAATTCAGCGAACAAATTTCTTTGAACCCGTGTTAGAACCGGTCAAAAAAGCCCTAACCGGTCAAAAATCGGTTAAACAAGGCCTTAACCGGTTAATTATAAAAAAAAATTTTTTTTTAAAAATTATTTATTTAAGCGGAGATTAATAAAAAATCACACAACTATTTGAACAATCATTATGCCAGCTCATTATGAATCAACTGGTATATTATCTTTCAATAAACTATAATAATAATAGTAATAATAATAATAATAATAGAGTTAATAACACTAAAGCAAATACATATGATGACAATAAATTATAATTACAAAGATTTCAATAGGTAACAAATCAATTTAGTTGTATTTCCCTTTTACTCGTCATTCTCTTGCATTTAGGCCGTTATTGTTAGACTGAATCACGCAATACGAAACTTATATAGTATTATAAACAGGGACTTTATTTTAGTTAAGGTTTACACTTTTTTACTTTAGTCAAGAGTTTAGTCATTCGTCACTTTTTTGTGAATTTGACGTGATGGGTTTCACAATTTCGTCAAACGACGCTAACATAGTAATAGTGTGTTTTAATTTGGCATATTTGGAGGTTTAACGGAAAAATTATAATTATTTTACCTTTAATTTTTTTAAAAAATCCATATTAATATTAACATTAATACATCTACCCATTTTTTGATCTTGTATTAGAAGTTTTTTGCCTATATCAGACTTTTATTTTTTAACCATTGTCGAAACTGTTTATTTTAGTCATCGGCGCAATTTCTTACCAAGTACCATTTTGATGATTGGCTAAAAGCAGAAAAAATCCTTGGCGACAAAAGTATTTGATATTTTTGGTCGCTGTTGTTAGACTTGACCGCAAGACACGAGTATTTCGAAAACTTGTATCGTAATATAATAGTATTGTAGATTCAAAACATTATAAATTATATTATACTTTTTCAAATTATGATCTTAGTCAAGGATTTTGTTTTTGTTAAGGTTTTACAGGTTTTACCTTAGTCAGGAATTTAGTCATTCGTAAAATTTAGTCAAACAAGATTAGCATAATAAATTAGCATAATAATAATGCTTTGATTTTTCATCTTAATATTAATACACACTTTGATTCATCGGATATTTTTTAAAAATTCATATCAATACTAGCAGTTAATATCTCGATACAACGGATAATTGTCGTTGTTATTTTTAACTAGCGGTAATTATCGATTTACCATTAAAACGAACAAAACAGACTTTTAATTTTTAAAGAACAAATGGTCTGATAAAAACAAGGTTTATATTCTTAATAATTGAACCATAAAAATAATTTTATTTCGATACTTTTTAGTATATAATAATAACGGCATCATATGATTTGTTATAAAATCCATTATTATAGTTAACTTTGGAATGTATTTGTCCATTAAATTGAGATTTATTGTATACCAATCTAAAACTAGTGGGCCAGATAGTGAAGTATTTGGTTGGGAAAAAGCTTGTATTCAAAGGATTGATAAATTTAACAATTTACAAATAAATAAAAATGATAATACTGTTGTGCGTGAAAATGAAATCTGTGAATTTGCAATTCGCATATGTGAATGAAATTCAAATTAGCCAATCAGAATTTCATATCCAAACACCCCACCCCAAATTTTCAACTAAATTAATGTGTGTGTATGCACATTTAAAATAAAAATCAATGTGCACAAATATGCATGTTACCTTGTATGTGTGAATGATTTTTTTA